AAAAAAAAAAAAAAAAACACAGAACCTGTCTCAGGTGGAATACATGACTTTCCCAAGTCCACATACATCCTAAATTGCAGCAACACAACTTACACACATACTTCACATACTTTAGCAGGACTAAATGTACATGCTTTAGAAGAAAAGAAGAGTGGTCTGGTCCAATGCTGGTGTAGATACAATCTCTTCAGGAAAATAAGGGCTCCCCCAAAGAGCACGGACAAACCCCCATGACACCTCCGACATGACCCTGGAGAACACAGTGAGTCTTGTGGCTCCCCACTGAGCATACACTGTGTGGTGGGAAATGTGAGGTGCACAAAGAAATTAGGATAAAATTCTGTCTTTGAGGGACTGAAGGTCAACAGTGCTTGACAGTTTTCAAAGTGTTTTAATTTTTACAGCAGTTCTATCTATCTCATGTTGCATAAAAAATACAGAACGCAGAATCAGAAAACCTTTCTGATCTGGACTCTTCCTACACTAGTCTGATGAGCCTTTAATAAGGTACTTACTTAACCACTGTGACCATCAGTTTTCTTACCGTGAAGTAGGTTGTCCATCATCAGTCCTGCCTATCACAAAGGCTGCTTGTAAAGTCAAATGAAGCAATTCTTGTGAACAGTCCTTTATAAAACATGCACTTCAGGGCCTGTTAGGCTCAGAGGAAGACATTTAAAACTAGAGATGGTGCTCCTCCAAGGAGATAGGAGAATATCCAGTACTAGGAACAAATTCTTCCATCACTCTGTCTTTTGTTTTATTCACCACATGCCACTTCAATGGACTTTTGTTTTCCCAAGGGCAAGAATCCAGTGATGCTCTTCATAATTTTCTTATTGACCTATTGATCATTCAAATGTGTTTGTGTAACATTCCTCTTCCTACTGGTTTTTAGTTTTATTCCATTGTAGTCACAAAAGATATTTGATGTGACTTCAGCTGTTTTGAATTTGTTGAGACTTGTTTTGTGGCCCAATATATAATCGATTCTGAAAAGTCTTTCATGTGATGATGAAAAGAATGAGTATTCTGCAGCAGTTGGGTGAAATGTTCAATAAATGTCTGCTAGGCCCAGTTAGTCTAGTGTATAGTTTAACTTCAATGTTTCTTTGTTGTTTTTCTGCGTGGATAATCTACCCATTACTGAAAGCAGATGGGGAAGTCACCATTAGTATTTGGAAGCCTATATCTTCCTTTAGATTTATTTATGCTTGCTTTATATTAATATATTTGGATGCTCTGATGTTGGGTGCACATATATTTACTTTTGTTGTGTTCTCTTGCTGAATTGACCTCTTTGTCATTATGTAGTCACCCTCTTTGTCTCTTTTTACAGTCTTTGACTTGAAGTCTATTTTATCTGATATAATTAGACTACTTCTGCTATGTTCTGGCCTCCATTTGTATGAAATATCTTTTTACATCCTTTCACTTTTAATCTGTGTGTATCTTTATAGGTGGCATGCATTTCTTGTAGACAGTATATAGTTGGGTCCTATTTTTTAAAATATATTCAGATACTCTTTGTCTTTTAATTGGAGAATTTATTCCATTTACATTCAATGTTATTACTGTTAGATGGGGATTTACTGCTGCCATTTAATTTCTTGTTTTCTGGTTACTTTGTAACTCCTCTCTTTCTTCCTTTCTCACTGTCTTTCATTGTCATTAAGTGATTTTCTCTGGTTGTATATTTTAATCTCACTGGGGTTTTTTTTAGTGTATCTATTATTGATATTTGTTTCTGTGGTTGCCATGAGACTTATCAGAAAAACTTATAGGAATAACAATTTATTTTAAAACAGATGACAACTTATGTTTGGTCACAAAGAAATTAATAAAAACCAAAAAAATTTAAAACTCTAACTTTCACTTTATTCCCCCCACATTTTGACTTTTTGTTGCCTCAATTTACACATTTTTATATTGCTTATCTCTGAACAGGTTGCTGTTGTCATTATCCTTTTTGACAGATCGGTGTTTTAACCTTCATACTTAAAGTATAGGTGGTTTATGCACCAGTTACAGTCCTAGAGTGTTCAGAGCTTGTCTGTATACTTACTTTTATCCACTGGTTTTGTATTAGCAAGTGTTTTCTCTTTGCACATTAGTGTTTTTTTCTTTCAGACCGAAGAACTGTTTTACCATTTCTTTTCAGATTGATCAGGTGGTAATGAATTCCCTCAGCTTTTGTTTGTTTCTCCCTCCCTCGTGCTTGAAGGGTATCTGTGCTGGGAACGGTGCTCTTTGTCGGTCCGAGTTTTTTGGTTTTGTTTTTTCTGGTTTTTGGTGGTGGTTGTTTGCTTTCATCTGTTTTAATATGTGGTCCTACTCTCTCCTGGCTTGTATGGTTTATACTAAGAAGTTTATCACCAGACAAACTGGAGTTCCTTCACACGTCATTGGCTTCTTTTCTCTTTCTGCTTCTGGGAGACTCTCTCTATTCTTGATATAAGAGAATTTGATTATTATTGTTATATGCTTTGGTGTAATCTTATTTGGGTTGAATCTGTGTGGTGATCTCTGACCTTCCTGTCCCTAATTATTTATATCTTTCTTTCTCTAGGTTTGGAAAGTTTTCTGGAATTTTTGCTTTTGTTTTTGCTTTTTTAAAATAATCTTTTTACCAATTGCTCTTTTTCATCACCCTCTTAAATACCAATGATTGTTAGATTTGCTCTTTTGAGGTAATTTTCTATATCCTGTGGCATTCCTTTTATGTCCTTTTTTTTCATTCTTTTCTTTCTTTTTCCCTTCTGGCTGTGTATTTTCAAATAGCCTGTCTTCAAGTTCACTGTTTGTTTGTTTGGGGGTTTTTTCTCTGCTTATTCCATTATGCTGTGAAGAGCTTCTAATTCATTTCTCAGTTTAGCAAATGTACTTCTTAGTTCCAGGATTTATGTTTGTTTGTTTCAATCTCTTTGCTAAATTTATCTGATAATACTTTAATTGATTTTCTGTGCTATCTTAGAGTTTCCTAAGTTTTCTTAAAGCCACTATTTTGATTTCTTGATCCAAGAACTCACTCCACTTACATCTTGTAAGGCAAATCTCATGGTAGTGAATTTTCTCAGCTTTTATTTGTCTGGGAATGTCTTTATCTCTCCTTCATTTATGAAGAACAGTATTCTTGCTTGACAATTTTTTTAAATTTCAGTAATTTAAATACATCATTCCCTCCCTCCTGGCTTGCAAGGTTTCTGTTGAAAAGTCCACTGATTTGGGAGTTCCTTGGTTTTTTTACAAGTTTTGTTTCTCTTGTTGCTTTCAAATTTCACTTTGTTTTTTACTTTTGACAGTTTGCTTATAATGTGCTCAGAGAGGTCTTCTTTGGGCTGATCTTTCTTGGAGCTTGGCATCCCTGAGCTTCATTAACTGGATGTCCACATGCCTCCCAAGATTTGCAAAGTTTTCAGCTACTGTTTATTTAAATGAGAATCTTGCCTCTTTTCTTTTTCTGGAACTCCCAAAATCTGTATATTCATACACTCAATGGCGGCCTATAGGTTTATTATGCCTCCTTCATTCTTTTTTACTCTTTTTATTTTTTCTTCTCTAATTGAGTGATTTCAAATGACCTGTCTTTGAGTGTCCTAATTTTTTCTTTTTTTAATTTGCTTTTTTAATGCATATTTTTTATTTTAAAATTGTGGGGTACAGTTAAGAGTCAGGTATACACACATGCATTGTGCAGTTACCCTTGTTGATGAGGTGTGCCCCCCTTTGAATAACTGAGTCTGCTGATGGAGCTTTTAGCTAATTTTTTAAGTCTGTCATTGTATTCGTCAGCAGTTTTTTATTCGTTCTGTTTTGCTATTTCTATTTCTTTATTAAGCCTCTCATTTTCTTCATGCATTATTTTTCTAATTTTTTTAGTTGTGTGTCTTTATTTGCTAGCATTTCATTGAACTTCCCAACAGTAATTACTTTCAGTTCTCTTTCAGAGAATTCTTAGATCTTCATTTCTCTCGAGTCACTAACTAGAGCATTATCAGTTTCCTTTTGTGGTGTCACAATTGCTTAATTCTTTGTTATATGTGTAACTTTGCGTTGGTGCAAATTTGAAGAAGCAAAAGCCTCTTCTAGTCTTTACAGATGTTTCAGCAGGTGAAGACCT